TTGTTTTGTGTTTGAATGATTTACTTCTACATTGCTCAGAGTCCCCATCTCTCCTCTGTCCCTGCGAGAGTTACGGGTGGCTTCAAAATTTGATCAAATAAATAAGGCAATCTCTGAGTTACGACCGCAACGGAGCCCAAAATTTCTGCTGCTAAGTGAAAACATTTGCAAAGTGAGTTTTGCCTCATTTTACAACCTTTCTCGCCACAGTGGCTTTAAAAAAGGAATCATTGCAGTTGTTCAGGGAGTCACACGGTCATTAAGTGAGACTGGCTTCCCCATGGACTTAGTTTGTCCGAAACCCGTAAAACACCCAGAAACACTGCAACCGTCATAAATATGAGTCAGTTGCCACGCTCCTGAATTTTCATCATGTGACCATGAAGATGCTGCAACGTTCGTAACTGTGAAAAACGGTCGTAACTTGGGGTTTTTTCAATGCCTAAATGCAGTGTTGTAAGTCGAGGACTATCTGTGTTGGGAAAACTCAGAAAAGAAGGTTTTTTTTTTGTTCCTCTCACACTCCCAAGCAGCTGAATTCCAGATAGACGGCCGGCCGAATTTTTGGAAATCAAACCAAGATTGGGTGAAGGTAGCTGAGAAGTCAGAGGTGCCCAGAAAAAGATTGAGGAAGAATAACAGAATAACAGGAAAGGGACCTTGGAGGTCTTCTAGTCCAACCCCCTGCTCAAGCGGGAGACCCTATACCATTCCAGACAAATGGCTGTCCAGTCTCTTCTTAAAAACCTCCAGGGATGGAAGCGCCCACAACTTCTGGTGGCAAGCTGTTCCACTGGTTAATTGTCCTCCCTATTAGGAAGTTTCTCCTAAACTGCGGGTTGCTTTCTCTCTTTTATTAGTTTCCATCCATTGTTTCTTGTCCTGCCTTCAGGGGCTTTGGAAAATAAATCTTCTTTGGGGCAGCCCCTCAGATATTGAAACACTCCTATCCTGTCGCCCCTAGTCCTTCTTTCCTCTAGACTAGCCAGACCCAATTCCTGCAACCGTTCTTCTTCGTATGTTTTAATTCAGTTCAAAAAGGGATTTTATTTTGGTTTTTCTCTCACTCTCCCAAGCAGCTGAAATCTGGCTGAATCTTTGGAAATCAAGCTAAAATTGGGTGAACATAGCTGAGAAGTCAGGGGATCCCACAAGGAGGAGGAGGAGGAGGAAGGAGGAGGAGGACTGTGAGGTCCTTGATTCTCTCTTGAGCTTGATTGTTTTCTTGCAAATATTTCACTACCAAACTAGATAACATCATATCAGTGGAGGAAGATGGGTTTGCAGAGGAGGAGGAGGAGGAAGAGGAGGAGGAGGAGGAGGAGGAGGAGGAGAAACAACTAAAAGCAGAAGCGTTTGCATATATACTGTGTTGCTGTATGCAGGCATTCAACTTAAAAGGACTGGCCACCCTTGGTTTTCCACTCACTCACTCTCTTTCTTTCTTTCTTTTAACGTACAAAGAACTGAACTGTGCGAGAAAAGCACCCCACCAGCATTGACTTGTGTGTTTGCCCCAGGTCAAACCAATGCTGTCTTTTAAAACCTTTACAAGCCAGCTCCGTATTTTTCACACCCTGCCTTCGCCCTTCCAAGAACCGTAAAGAACTGCGGCAAGCGTCGTGCACCGACACGCACAAGTGCATCCCGCAAAAAAAAAAAAAACAAAGAAAAGAGGAAAAGCTGTTCCAGGCATGCCGCGCTCCTACATGCACACACACACACACACACACACACACAGGGAGACGCACATGGGTTTTTTCCTCCCCGTCCCTCCCATCTGACTCCTTGCTCCCCTCAGTTTAATTACTACTAATGTAAACTCCGCTCCGTCTAAAAGAAACCTTGGCACGCTGCCTCGTCCCATAAATTCACTGCAAAGAGCTGGGTGCCACTGAGGGGTGTGTGTTTGTGTGTGTGTGTGTGTGTTTTCCTCTCCCCCCCTCTTCTTCTTGATTTTTTTTTTTAAATTTAAAAAAAAAACGGGGTATGTGCTCAAGGGCGGAAAGCTTTAACGGGATCATAAATGCTTATTACACAGCCCGTGCGCTGCCTTGATGGGATTAGCTGGAGGAAAAATTGATCATCGGTGTGTGTGTGTGGGGGGGGGGTGTTCTCTCTCTCTCTTCTCCCCCCCCCAACTTAACAAAGAGCAGAGGGGGGGAAACAGGGAGAGGGAGGGGGAGAATCCTCAACACACGACCCACCGACCATTGAGATATTAAACTCCTGGGAAGAAAGGGGCGTTTTGCAGGTGGGGCCCAAAGCAGAAAGGGAGGCAGGGCACTAAAATGGCTAGAGTCCCCCAGGGTGGCTGGGGGGAGGGGGGGAAGGAGGGACCCCTTGGCAAAAGGTTAGCGAAGGAGCCAGGCGCCCCCTGAGTTTCAGGCGAAAAGCTGGCGGCATCCAAAGCTGCCAGAAAAGGGGGAAAGTTGGATTCTTCCCCGAGCTGCCAGCCTGTAAAAGGCTTTTTTCAAATTCCGTGTTTCTCAACTTTAACTATGTTAAGATGGGTGGACTTCAACTCCCAGAATTCCCCAGCCAGCATAGCATAGAAGTCCACACACCCTCAAAACTTGCAGAGGACTGAGAAACGCTGCGTTAATTAGTCCTTTAATTAGCTCTGGTTGATCAGGGGCTCCCGATCCAATTAACACCCCGATTCCCAGCTTGCCATTCCCAAACAACTGAATTGTGGGGTCTCCTTGGGGTCCTTTCCATCCTTTTGGGAGCAGCTGCTCTCGTTCATGGCAGGATTGTGCCCTGTTTAAGTGAAGATGGCTACCAACCTCTTCGGGAGGACTGTGGCAGCTCCTTTTTCACTAAGAAACTGTAGTGAAATGCATAGGTTTTGGGGAACTGACCTTCTTCAGAGAGACATGGGGTGGAATAGACAGATGTGGGGGGAAGGAAGGAAGGTAGAAAGGGAGGGAGGGAGGGAGGGAGGAGAACAGGAACAAAGAGAAAGGAAGGAAGGAAGGGGAAGAGAGGGAGGGAGGAAAGAAGGGAAGGAAGGAGAACAGGAAGGAAGAGGAAGAGAAAGGAAGGAAGAGGAAGAGAGGGAGGGAGGAAAGAAGGGAAGGAAAGAGAACAGGAAGAAAGAGTAAGAGGAAGGAAGGAAGGAAGGAAGGAAGGAAGGAAGGAAGGAAGGAAGGAAGGAAGGAAGGAAGGAAGGAAGGAAGAGGAAGAGAGGGAGGGAGGAAAGAAGGGAAGGAAGGAGAACAGGACGAAAGAGGAAGAGAAAGGAAGGAAGAGGAAGAAAAAGAGAGGGAGGGATGGAGGAAGGAAAAGATAAAGGCAGGGAGGGAGGGAGGAAGAACGGAGAGAGAAGGGGAACAAGAAGAAAAGGTGAGAAAAGGAAGAGGCAAAGGAAGACAGACGGAAGGAAGGAAGGAAGGAAGGAAGGAAGGAAGGAAGGAAGGAAGGAAGGAAGGAAGGAAGGAAGGAAAGGAAAGGAAAGGAAAGGAAAGGAAAGGAAAGGAAAGGAAAAGATGAAGGGAGTGAGAGAGGGAGGGAAGAAGGAGAGAAGGGGAACAGGTAGAAAGGGTTAGAGAAAAAGAAGAGAAAGAGGCAGAGGAAGAAGGAAAGAGGAAGAGAGAATGGAAGGAGAAGGAGCACAGGAAGAAAGGGGAAGAGGAAGGAAGGGAAGAGGGAAGAGAAAGAGGGGAAGAGGAGGTTGATGACGCAGACCATATGCGAGACAGATAACAAGCATCTAATCAATTAACAAATTCTAATGTGTTTAAAAACCTGCAATGCTGATTTAAGAGTTGGCTAGTTTAACTTTACATTCTTAGATCAGCCCGTCATCAAGGTGTATTTCCTTGCGGGCAAAAAGGATCCAGCTTCTCTCCAAAACCAGAATTCCCCCCCCCCCCCATTATCAAAGCACCCCAGAATCAGAGAGGTGGACAGGAGGACCCTGGGGGGGAAAAACCCACCCTTCGTCCAACTTGGTGGAATTTGCAAAAGGATGTGATTTAGTAAAAGCAGCCCTTTCGTTTCTACCTCCCCCCGTTTCTACAACCCTGGAAAGCAAATGCAAAAAACCCAGACTTTCTACAATTGGATTTTAAAAAACCGCTCAATTTAGCTGCCATGAAGGAGTGCATTAGACCAGAGGAAGAAATTTCCACTTAATATGGAGGGGGGTGGGGGGTGGATTTTCTGAAATGATCTTTAGAGCAATCACTGCCAAACCACCGTGTGTTTTTTCATAGCCCGCCAGACAGGTGTGTGTGTGTGTGTTTTAAGGTAACCTCTTCTTTAGTTCATTTTCACTTAATCCTTTTGTTCGTATTAATGATGCCTTGTCTTTAAATTAAAGAAAGTGGGAAAAGAGGAGAGGGAAATCTTGCAGAAGAGGGCACGGAGGGAAGGGGATTGGTGGGTGACGCTGCGTCAAAAAAGCAAATAAACCTTTCAAGATTAATAAGGATGGCCAATTTTTTTAAAAAGACACCAACGTCTCTTGTTCTCTTCACCAATTCCACTCATCGTTCTTTGCCCGGCTGTATGATGAAAGGGAACGTGGATCGCTCATAGAATCCTAGTTGGAAGGGATCTCAGAGGTCATCCAGTCCAAACCCCCTGCTCAAGCAGGAGGCCCTTACGG